CAAATTTAAGAAAAAAATTGATTTGTCCTAAATGTAGAACTACTTTTTCCTGGACGGAACGGGAAACGAGTACCATGCATCCGTAAATACCGTACGTTATAAAGTTTCCCTGTTTCCCGTGCTTGAATGAAAACTGAAAAGTCAAGCCCCCGTGTACCGCGCGTTACACCCTGTTTTCCATGCATGCTTTCCGGCCACGGCAGGCACACAAGAACAAGAGAAACGACTGGCTACCTGCTGCAGTTGTAAAGCTCTCTACCAAAGTACCAAGTGCAATATATAGACATCACAGCAAGCTCCGATCCATCACACCTTTCACACATCGTCACATCGAGTAGTACGTTGGTAAAGAAGCGACTAGGCGCCATGGCGTCCCGAAGGTGTCCACGCCAAGTGGATGTGGCGCTCCTCGCGGTCGCATTCGTGCTCGTCTCCGGCCTCGCCGCCGGCCCGGCCACGGCGAAGCAGACGAACCAGGTGACCGTCTTCTGGGGCCGGAACAAGGACGAGGGGTCCCTGCGCGAGGCGTGCGACACGGGGCTCTACACCACCGTCATCATCTCCTTCTACAGCGTGTTCGGCCACGGGCGCTACTGGCGGGGCGACCTGTCGGGCCACCAGCTGAGCGGCGTCGGCGCCGACATCAAGCACTGCCAGTCCAGAGGCATCCTCGTGCTCCTCTCCATCGGCGGCGGCGGCCACGACTACTCGCTCCCGTCCTCCCAGTCCGCGGAGGACGTCGCCGACAACCTGTGGAACGCGCACCTCGGCGGGCGGCGCCGCGGCGTGTACCGCCCGTTCGGCGACGCCGCCGTGGGCGGCATCGACTTCTACATCGACAACGGCGGGGCCGCCGACCACTACGACGAGCTGGCGCGCCGCCTTGCCCGGAAGGGGGTGCGGCTCACGGCGTCGCCGCGGTGCGGGTGCCCCGACCGGCGCGTCGACCGGGCGCTGCAGACGGGGCTGTTCGAGCGCATCCACGTCAGGTTCTACGGCGACGACAAGTGCTCCTTCAAGAACGGCAGCACCTGGGGCGTCGTGGAGGAGTGGAACAAGTGGACGGCGAGGTACCCCAAGACGGAGGTGTACCTCGGCCTCGCCGCGGCAGAGAGCGGCGTGCCGGATGGGGCGCAGGGCACCATCGCGGTCTACCTCAAGTATCTCTACTACCTCCTGCTGCCCGAGGTGCAGAAGGCGCGCAACTATGGCGGCGTCATGGTCTGGGACAGGTACGAGGACAAGAAGACCGGCTACAGCGGCGTCGTCAAGGGCTGGGCGTGACGTTACTTAGCTTGTTGGTTTACAGCTATTAATCAGTATGCGTATGTACGTATGTACTACTAATAATAAACAGAAATTCTATACGCATGCACTCTAGTGTTTTGGAGCAATCAACACTCGATTCGATCTCTTCTTTTTCTCTTCCCTTCTTCTTCTTCTTCTTCTTCTTCTTCTCCAAATCTATAACGGTCTTAGAAGAAATTTTATGGGAGGCAGGTCGGCCAGGCGGTGAGGGACAACGATTAGGGTTCCGGTGACGTAGGAGGCGGCGGTGGGAAAAAAGGAGGCTGCCACGGGTGCGGTAGGGTCTCGTCAAAGCTCCACACGGCCGTGGTCGCGGCGGCAGAGCTTCGATGATACCCTACCGCGCCAGCAGAGTGGTGAGCAGTGGGTGGCAACGGCATGTCAGGAGGAGGAAAAAGATGTGAAGGAAATAGTATTCGGGCGGCTTAGAACACTCGAGTGAGGCATAGACAGATTCATAATAAAATGATCGAGACCCATATATAACGATGCTATATGGATCCAATGTCGTTTATTATATGTTCTGCTAGTTGTTTTGCAGGTCATGATTTTATTTTGAAATGACAGGTCAATGAATTAGTCTAATGTTGTTTGTGGTTCTACTCAATGGAACAAGGAGTATGCGTGAACAAATGTTCTATACCGATGTCTTTACTTCCTGCCGCGCCATGCCATTCGGGTCTGTTCGGTTGCTCGTTGCAGGAGCAGCTTTCAGCCATCCAAGGTAGCTCAGTCTCAGTAATACAGATCAGCAACAGCTGAAATAGCTGCTAAAACCGCCGGCTGGCTTGCCAGGTTTTAAATAATAATGCCTGAATTACACGGTGGCATAAGGCTACATTTGCAAAATCAGAACCTAAGAATATATATAAAATGAATTCAATTTACCTCCCACAAACGATCACGGTAATATGATTTTCCTCTATAATAAACTACAGGAACCAATTTTTTTTAACCCATCTTCAATTTTAAGTCTGTTTGTTTTTTTCACCTTGGATAGTTCTGCTGGTGATTTTGCTGACGTGTGGATTGGTGGTGGTAGGGGTTGTAAATCGAACTAAATTGAATGTTGAGGGAGGTAAATCGGACTAGAATTTTTTAAAAAAATATATTCAAAAGTTCATAAAAATAATTTTTTTAAAAAATATTTAAATATTTTTACATGGAAAAATAATGCAATTAAGAAACCTAAAAATTGATTTAATCTTAGGAATTTCATTGAAAAAATTGTTTTACTTCGAAAAACTATGAAACTAGTTTTAATCTTTTTTCCCTAAAATCATGCTCTATCTTATGGTGCCTAGCTTGAAATTGTTTGAATTTTTATAGACTTTTTTTGTGTTTATTCGCTAGTAGAAGCTCTCGTTATCTATTATAATTAATCGGCGTTGATCATCCGGACTACGTAGAAGCGCTCGTAAAGCATCGTCAAGACCATGCATGCGGCAGGATGCATGCAGCCACACAGGCTAACATAACTACTTTGAAAATTAATTTATCCAGTAAAGGGGACCAACGCCTACCCTGTTACACATACGTAGTCCAGACAATGCTTCTACGTAGCTTGACGATAACATCGACTAAGTACAGTAGATAACGAGAGCTTCTACTAGCAAAATGCACCAAGATGAGTTCATTAAGATTTAAACAATTTCAATCTAGGCAGCATAAGATAGAGCATAATGTTTTTTTAAAATCTAAAAGTAGTTTCATAATTTTTTGAGGTCAGACAAATTTTCTATGAGTTTTCTAAGATCAATCCAAATTTTAGGTTTTTTCATTGTATTATTTTTCGATGCAAAAATTTTTAGATATTTTTCTAAAAAAATATTTTATGATTTTTGGACATTTTTAAAAATATCTCTAGTCTGATTTACCCCCTCTGCCATAGCATCACATTAGCAAAATCATCGTAAAAACCATCCAAGGTGCAAAAACAATGTTTTTAAAATGTGATGAAGTTAAAAAAAAAATAGTTTGTAGTAAATTGGACAATCGCGATTGTTGAGGGAGATAAATTAGAATTTTTCTTAAATCCTAAAATTGAAAAAAAAACAATATTTTCCCCAGTCAGCCCGATCGGAGCCCATCTAAGGAGTAAGGACCCGTTCTTGGCCCAAGGTTCGAACCGGACCCCTTCATCCGCTCGACTGGCCGCTTCTCCCACTCCTCCATGGTTTAGGCTCGCCGTCGCACGCGCCCCTCCCCCGGCGCCGTCGCACGCGCGCGCATCTTTTGTTTCCGCCGCGATGCCTCCTTCCGAGGGCAAGAATAGGCACCCATCGGCGTCGCACCCCTCCCTCTCGCTCCTCCCGAGATTCCGGAAGCATCGACGGCGAGAGAAGCGTCGACCTCCCATCCTTTGCTGCTGCCGCCGCCGCAGCGGAGTTCCCGGCGCTCGTGCCACGCGGCGGCGATGGATGCTTTGCTGGCGCCGTCGCCGAAGTGGCCCCCAGGGACGGGAGCCGCGGCGGCCGCTTGGGGAGGCTCTGGCTCTCCGAGGCGGCCATGGTCGGCGCCGGGATGCGGCCCGGGTGCCTCGTCTCCGTGAGCTCCTGCTTTCTCACCTTTTGTCCCTTCGACTTACGACTGTTTGTTTCTGCAAATTGTTTGTGCGAACCAGCTTCGTTACATCCAGAATCAGTTCAAGGGGGTGCAATTTCTTGCTCAAATTTATATTTGCGTTTTGACTGGGAGGCACCCTTGAATTTATCACAAGGGCACTGAAGACCATTTCAGTCTTATGAGCTCCAATTTGACAGACATTTAGTAATTGGTATCAATTCCGGTCGGCATGAGTCCACCCATCCACCCACGCGCGCGCGTGTGTGTTTTGGAATAACCCACTTGTGTGTGTGTTTAATGTGCCAAATTGAAATGCGCATGGACTTATGCCACCGTGATTGTGAAACAGACTTTATAGTTGCATTTAAGCACAAAATTACTGGTTGCTTTTTCTTTTTCTTTTTTTTAGAAAACGTGGTTCTGAATATACCACTGAACTGACTGATTACACATTAATACCATTGAAAAAAAGATAGCTCCTTGTACAAATAAACCGATAGCACCTTTTGTGTCAATCCATCTATCTTCTCTATTGGATACCTAGTTCATGTTCTTGCGGCAGACCTCATTCCCATCCTTGAGCACACTGCTAGGCCATAGCCCTCCTTTTCATTAAGCCACCACACCCCAAATCAAATCTGCAGGCCACCAAATTGACCCACCCAATCCAAATGGAGGTTTTTGTACTGTACGAAAAGCTGTTTATCATAGTTCTTGCATACTTATTGTTTTCCATGGATGCCTTCTAATTGTTTATAGATGTATAGAGAGGAGAAATTTAGGATAATAATTTTGTAGTTGGTGGGTTCAACTGTTTTGTTCTTTACAGCCTGTAAAAAGGGTGCAGCAAGGCATGGATGTAAAGCAACCTGCATATCTGCCTAGGTTTTTCTGGAAGTTGATGAGGGGTTATCCCAGATTCTGCCTAGAAATCGAGTGCAAATCATTCAGCTCATGCCCTCTTTCCAGCACCTAGTTTGCTCGAGCCTAGGACTTGCCTGCCCCAATTACCACCTGCCTACTCCAGTTCACCGCCTGCCCATGTGCCTATTCCAGTTTAGCATCGTGTCCATCAGTCCATAGGCCAAGGAAGAATATGGTCTGTGCGACATGAACTGAACTGGGAGATGGGTGAGAAAAACAAGCACTTCAACGGAGAAGGCGGATGGATGGATGGAAACACGGCAGTGATGGACACAATGTTCGTTGAAGTGCTTGTAAGAATCTTTTACGGGTATAGTGATGAAGCAGATATTTTACGGGTAATAAAATGTAAGAATCTTGACCTTAGTCAAGTTCCACCTGAGGTTGGATCTTCCAGTAGCAATGAATCAGAGTCTGACTGCTGTCCTGAAAGTAATGGAATGGTTATGGAGACATGCAAGAAGATACCTTCTGCTCCACTGCATAGGAAGGAGTCCTTGTACTCTTCATTCAACAGTGGCTCTTCAATGTGCTTGGATCAAACCACTGCAAGATCAGCATTAGCAGATGAAGAAGTTAAACGAGTTGTTGCAGACTTCAGCTCAACGGTGGCCTAATGGTAGACAGTTATTAAAAGGGAATTTTGTTCCTCTCTCAATGTGCGGAAAATTGTCTTTGTTTGTGGTGATGGGAGCAGAATTTGATGGCTCTGCCCAAGGTGATTTGTGCAAGAAAGGGAATACACTGTCTAATGCAGAAGACTCAGCTAACTTGGGGGAAACCCTAGTTTCGTTCCTTGTTGATAGAACCACAAAAGTGCATCTGTCTGATTCTGTTTGCACAGAGAAGCTTGGCCCAGATAAGGTAGATTTACCGTCAGAACTTTATGAATATGATAATAAAAGAAATGAAGTTTCCAATCATGCTCCAATGCTTGGTGGTTTATCTAAAGAGTCAGCTATCATAAAAGGACTAATTTCATTTTCACTGGCTGATCATATAGGTTTGCCAAGGTATTGCGTAAACAGATACACCCTTCCCCCTGTATTCTGCTATAAAAAATCATTCTTTTCATTTTGTAACATTTTTGATTAATTTCAGATACAAAGGTGTTCTTCTTTATGGTCCACCTGGAACAGGGAAAACTTCTCTTGCCTCTTCCTATGCCTATGATGCAGGAGCCAACCTTTTCACAGTCAACGGACCAGAGATCATTAGTAATTATTATGGTGAAAGTGAGCAATCTCTGTATGATGTTTTCAGTTCAGCTAAGAAAGCTGCGCCTGCTGTGGTTAGATTTTCTTCAAATGCTTAGCTGCATTATCTTTACTGTCATGTCAACTGCAAAGAAAATTCCTGTTAGAGTTACCTCTTTATTGTAATTTATAATGCTGAATCTCCCCTTTGTATTAGAAAAATAACAACATTTTTGATGACTTTTGTGACCAGTGTTTTTTTAATGATACAAGCAACTTGATTTTTTTGTATAGTAGCACTGTATTATTGAGCCCAAGCTGCCCTAATGTCTTGATGTGCTCTGCAACTCTAAAGTCTTAAAGTTACATCTTCTAATTAAATTCATGAACCAAACTTGTTACTCTTTTCACACTCAGGGGGCAGATCACTGATTGTATAAGGTTTGAAGTATTTAGTTAGCAAGGAGCAATACTATATATTTGACATATTGGTATCCTATAATTAGGGTTCTTATCTCATCACATGTTGCCATTTGTGACACTAGTATGCATCTATCTTATGTATCTTTGTTCCTTTTAGATATTTATTGATGAATTGGATGCAATTGCTCCATCAAGGATGGAAGGGGGCGAGGAGTTATCTATTACAATGGTGGCCACTCTGTTAAAACTGATGGACGAGATAGGCCCTAGTGACCGACTGTCCGTGTTCTCTTAATTGCGGCTACTAATCGGCCTGATAGTATCGATCCTGCACTTTGGTGTTCTGGAAGATTGGATAAAGAAATTGAAATAGGTATAATCCTGCTATGCTGTCCATATGCTTTTAAAGTAAAAGGGCCGTTGATGTAGTCTCCTCTACATACACATGATGCTTTTAAAGCTAAATGCCTGTAGCTAAAACGAATACTTATGGATATGCAGAATGCATTAGGAATGGAATGAATTATGTCATGCCTTTAGGTAATTATATGAAATGTAGCATCATGCCTTTAGGTAATTATATGAAATGTAGCATCATGCCTTTAGGATTGGTCAATATTTTTGACTTATAAGGAATGGAATGAAATGTATTGTGTCTTCTGTTGTCCCTGGTAGGTAATTATTTTTTATGTTCTTATATTTTTTTTCCTCGAAAAACGCAGGAGAGCTGCGCTTCATTATATTAAGAAGAAAGATGGGTTAAGAACCCTTTACAACACACAACACACACCACACTGTTTGATTGATTACATTCGCGCCCGTGAACTAGCTGTCGAGGCGAGCGAACCATACATGCTAACCATCAGGGAGTGGGGCAGTCAGGAAGGACAGCCCCTGAGCACCTGCCATGCACCATAACCGGTGCTCCTCCCCTGCAATGACCAAGGCCCTGGTGATGCTAGGCGTTACCCCATCAAAAACACACCGGTTTCGGTGATTCCACAATGTCCGGGCCCCAAGAATTATTAGCGAATTTAGTCCTTTCTTCGTCTCACCATTCACAGCAGAACTTGCCTTCTCCCACCACCCATCAAAGGAACTGTCTGAAGGTTGTGGAGCTAGAACATGGAGCCCGACTTGCTGAAACAGAATGTACCAGAATTGCCTTGCGAAAACACATGATACTAGGATATGGTTGATGGTCTCATCATGCTGATCACATAGAGAACATTGTTCAGGGTGAGGCAATCCTCGCCACGCAAGACGATCCGCGGTCCAGCACTTATTATGTGCAACCAGCCACAAAAAGAAATGACATTTGGCCGGTGCCCATGTTTTCCAGATCCGCTCATAGGGGGCAAAAAGTGTGGAGCCGAAGAAAAAACCCTCATATGCAGATTTGGCCGAGTATTGCCCACTAGAGGAGAGTCGCCAAATATGTGAGTCCTCAACTTCAGGATGTAGCTCAAAACCAGATAGGAGGTCCCAAAGTTGCCAGTCAAGGCAGTTTTTAGTAAATTAAGGTTAGCTTGCATATATAGATGGTAACAATTTTAAGTAGTCTTGAGTTAACATGGTTGTCCAATGATATATTGTTGAGTCTAAAACCATGTTGACTATGATTTGTTGTCTACTCACTGGATTGTAGGAGTGCCATCTCCAGCACAGAGGATGGACATACTTCGCCACCTTCTAATTGGAGTTCACCACTCTCTCAGTAATGAGGAACTTGAGTCTATTGCTCTAGACACCCATGGGTTTGTGGTTGCTGATCTAGCTGCACTATGCAATGAGGCTGCATTGATTGCTCTTTGCCGTTTCATCAGCCTAAGAGAAAATTCGAGTCTACAACTTGGTCATCCTGACTCTAGTGTAGATAAGTTTGTTTGAGATACTGGTCATCCTTTAGGCTATCATGAAAGCTCATTATCATTGTCTTTCTCAACCATGTCATTGGATGATTGTCCCTCTGCAAATAGTGAGAAAGATGAAAAAATATTGTTAGTCAACAATGACGACTTTCAGAAGGCTGAAATGAAAATTAGACCAAGTGCTAATGCGTGAGGTATAGCATCATCTATCCACCTGCAAGGCTTTAACTCTGGAACTGTTGGCTTCTTATTATATTACAGTTCCTCTATATATATGCATTTGACCTGCGTAAAAGTGATGCCAATTGTCAGTCATACTCTGCACAGGTAATGCTTGAGGTTCCGAAAGTATGTTGGGAAGATGTTAGTGGTCAAGCCAGTGTCAAGGAGCAGCTTATTGAAGCCATCCAATTGCCGCAGAAATGCCCAGAAGCATTTGAGCGTTTAGGGATCAAACCCCCCAGTGGATTGCTAATGATAGGACCACCAGGTTGCAGCAAGCCACTGATGGCTCGTGCTGCAGCTAGCAGCTTCTGAAGCAAAATTGAACTTCCTTGCAGTTAAGGGTCCTGAATTTTTCAGCAAATGGGTCGGAGACTCTGAAAAGGCAGCAAGGTCGCTATTTGCAAAGGCTAGGGCTAATGAACCAGCAATACTATTTTTCGATGAAATAGATGGGTTTGCAGTAACTCGTGGGCTTGAAAATGATGGCACGTTTGTTGCTGACAGAGTCCTCTTTTCAGTTGCTTGTGGAAATGGATGGTGAGTTCTTGTCACCCCATAAACGAAATTTCTCTTATGTTGCTTCATGGCTGTTCATAAACTTGCTGATAATTGCCTTAGGCTATAGTCTAATTGCCTTATATATACTCACTAACGCTAGTCACTAAACTTTTTCGTTGACTAAGCATCAAATGATGTTTCCATTCAATTATTGATCAATTGGAGTCTTAGCCATTTGCTCGCTCCACCACAGTTGGAATGTTGGTGACTTGCTGTCTGACACATTTTGTTATTTAGAAGCACCTATTGGTCTCTAAATTTTGATGATGCATAATTTACTATTTGGTGGCAACAGGTTTGGACCAGAGAGTTGGTGTGACTGTTATTGCAGCTACTAATCGTCCTGACAAAATTGATCCTGCACTTCCGAGGACAGTTTGTTCATTAGGTCTATACAGTGCATTGTTTGGTTTCACATGTAATGCTTCCTACAATCCTAGAAGCATACGTACTAAAGTAGATGCTGTGGCCGCAGCTTTTCACTGTACTCCTCACATATCCACTGCGGAAACAGCCGCTGTGGTTTAAATTCATCTGAAGCGCACACAGTAAGTCTGCAATCAGCAGTGTAAAGCTGTCTGATGTCGAGTTTTACCAAAAACCCACAAAGGATTTCCGCAGATATGTGGATGGCGGCGCACCCCTGAGAAAGCAAGAAGATGGTTAGGATACAGTCGCAGAAATTTTGTTGCAACTTGTATCCTGAAAGCGATTCCTTTTGTCATCTCTGCCACATCACCTTTGCTCTTTGAAATGTAAATACAGAATCTTGTTCTATCTAGAATCACCTTTTCTGTACTTGTTTTCTGTGCGGTGCCCGTGTCCGTTTGTCAACAAATGAGAAACGAAACCACAAGATTATAGAGAAGTCATTTGAAAGTTTACATTGACAGTGCTTTTGGTCCCCTCTGCATTTGTTCGCGAAGGCTTTTTTGTTGCGTTTCTCTAATCCTCGCATTGGTTCACGCCGTGCCTTACAAGCACATATGCCTGCGTGCTGGCAACCGCTGGCACTGATCCCAGTTCACGATGAGGTTTACTCCGTTTTTTACGCCGCGCACCCAGCACGCGCTGTGTAAAAAAAGTGTACCACCTGCTAAAGCAGCCCACCAAAAAGTAATAAACTCTATTTTTCAGGTGCCTGAAAAATAACATCTATTCAGGTAACGGCTCTGAGCCATCAGATGAAGATCAAAGGAACACCACGTCGCCTGAACAAAAGGTAGATTTCAGGCACCTGCGTTTTAGGAGATGTGATGTGAACAAATAAAAATGCGCACCTTAAAGTATAGACTATAGTGTAATAAGGAAGGTTCATCCAAAAAAAAATTTAGAAAAGGAAAAGTAATAGTAAAGAAGGTACCCAAATGATTTGCATATGATGCGCACATGATGTCAAGGATCTGGAGATATATTATCGAGCCTTTCATGAACGTTTCTACTCCCTCTGTCCCTTTTTATCTATCGTTCTCACTTTCTGAAAAGTCAAACGTAACTTTGAAATTTTATATATAAGAAAATTCAATCATTTTTTATAATAAACTTATTTAGAGGTATAAATGTTACTAATATTTTGTACAATCCTAGTTAAAGTTGAAAAAGTTTGACCCACATATTTCCCATAGCGACAAATATAAAGGGGCAGAAGGAGTATGCTTCTAGGCTCATGGTTAGGCATTCCCATTCTGTTACTCGCTTCAGTCACATATTAGTGAAGTTTTATCATTTTTTGAAATTAGTTATTCCAAACTTTGATTATTCTAGACTTTTCAAGTATCAAGTATGTATGTTTGGAAATGATACGGGGTACATTTTTCTTGAAAAATAGTCTCACAAAATTGTAGAAATATATTATAATAGATATAAAAGTCAAAATTAATTAAGGGTCTTTTGGCAGTGCTTCTTGAAGAGTTTTAGCTTTGTCTCTCTGACTCTTTATAAAGCTTAAGTAAAGTTCTACTATACACTACTTCTTTAGTTTTTATTTACATGTTATATTAGCTTTGTTCTAAGTCAAACATTTGTATCTTTGACCATTGATTTCGAAAATCATGAATCATGATATAAGATTTATGTTTTTAGATTCACTATGAGAAATATTTCCATGATACATAACTCATATGTTGCAAAGCTATAAGAATTTTTTTAATAGATGGTTAGTTAAACATTTGTATATTTGACCATCAATTTTAAAATTCATGAATCATGATATAAGATTTATGTTTCTAGATTCACTATTGAAAGCATCTAGGCCCCTAGTTGGGTTTCGGTGATTAATGACAATACGTGATTACTGTGACTAACGTGTGTTTTGCAGAGGCAATTAAGTTAGGTCACGGTAATAGAGATCGATTGGGCTATCATGGTGGTCATGCCCCTACGATGGAAATCGTTTCGATTTTCAAAGGATGGACGACAAGGTTAAGGATGGACTAGTTCTAAGTGTCGTTTGGTGTTGAGGAGACACTTAGAGTAGTTTAGAACTTTGTTTTTCCTTTGGCCGTACTATTAAGGGGGGTATGGACCGGTAGCTTGACCTAGGTGAGTCTAGTGAGTTAGGTGTGGTGCACACTTGCTAAATCTAGCACTAGGTAGCTCCTAAAAAGCCCTTAGATCCATTGGAGCAAACTTCATTCACGTATGATCGAGAGTTGGAAGTGAATGGAGGGTCAAATGCTGACCGGACGCTGGTTCTGGAGTGACCGGATGCTGGCGCAGAGTCCGGTCAGTTCATTTGATCAAGGTGAAATCGTCTGGACGCGACCGGACGTTGGGTGCCAGCGTTCGGTCGACTCTAGTAAGGTTCCAGAGAGGGAAAATCGTGACCGGACGCATCCGGTCACAACTTAAACACTAGAGATCGGGGAGAACTGACTAGAGCGTCCGGTCACCCCGTAGAGGCACATAATGGTTCGTTTTTCAACCAAGGTTATAAATACTTTCTCCATTCGTGTGAGGGGGTACCTTTGCTCATTCTAACAGCTGAGAAACACCCTTGAGAGTGCAAAGAAGAGCAAGGTCCTAGTAAGGTGATTGAGATTTGAGAATCCCAAAAAGAGCCCTCATTAGTGAAAGCAAGAGTAGCAAAGTGTGCATCCACCCTTCTCATTAGGCTTGTCGTGGTTAAGTGAGAGTTCGTGCTTGTTACTCTTGGTGATCGCCATCACCTAGATGGCTTGGTGGTGATTGGGAGCTTGGTGATCATCCGGCAGAGCTTGTTGATGACCCAACTCAAGTTGTGAGCGGTTGTGGGTGATTCACCGAGACGGAGTGTCGAAGAATCAACCCGTAGAGAGCACTTGATCCTTACGCGGATCAAGGGGAGCTATACCCTTGCGCGGGTGCTCCAACGAGGACTAGTGGGGAGTGGCGACTCTTCGATACCTCAACAAAACATCGCCGTGTTCCTCCTTCTCTTTTTACTTTGAGCATTTACTTTGAGTAATTCAATTCTTGTCAATTACATTCATAGAATTGCTATGCTAGAGTAGGATTGGAACATAGGTTGCTAAACTTTTGTGCGGTAGATCAATAGAAACACTTTCTAGGCACAAGGGGTTAATTGGGCTAACCGTAGAACTTATCTATTGCAAAGAACTTTAGAATTAACCCAATTCACCCCCCCTCTTGGGCACCTTGATCCTTTCAATTGGTATCGAAGCCTCATGCTCACATTTTTAGACTTAACCGTCTAGAGAAAGATGTCTCACAGGGATGGTCCTCCTCCTATCTTTGAGGGGGATGATTTTCCATATTGAAAAATCCCATTGGAGGCGTATTTAGAAGCTCTAGATGTTGGAATACTTAGAGCCACCTCACAAGGCTTCCCAAAACCTCGGGATGCTATTCACCTACAAGGTGATGAGGTGAATTACGAGAAATGGAATACAAAGGCTCGAAACACCATCTTTAGAGGCCTTTGCAAAGATGTGTTTAACCGGGTAAGGAACCACAAGGACGCCTATGCACTATGGTCAGACATTTGTGCGCTCCATGAGGGAACCAAGAGCGAGTGTGAGGAACGCTATCATCTTGTCATGAAGAAGCTAAATTCATTTGAGATGCTTTCTAAAGAGAGTGCTAATGAAATGTACTCAGGCTTGAATGTTCCTATAGAGGAGGTCAACGGGCTTGGATTCACTCAAATGCAACCATCCGATGTTGTAAGAAAGATCTTGAGTGTCCTCCCCATTGACAAATATGGGCATATTGTGACCGTGCTTCATCAAGGTGATC